CAAAAAAAACTTACCTATCCCTGCTCCGAAGTGCAGGATCTTAACCCTTATTCCAAAGTTTCCAAAAAAGCTCTAAGGCCTGCATCAGAGCCCTGAGCACCAGGGTTTCTAGATCCTTCCCCTGGAACGAGGCCAGATAAGCCATCTCAGTTGCCCAACTTCTCTGGGGCTTAACTGCAGAGTACGAGGCATCATCAGGTCCTGCCGGGCTCCAAAGCCTGTCAGGAGACGAAAACCAGATAATGTATGTGAAAGCACTTTGGAATCCAGGAAGCACTCTCTAGCAACGGGAAGGATTACTGCATGATTTGATTCGGAGAAAGGAGGATGAGAGCAGGGAAACAAGCCCACTGGGGGAGGGGAGCTTTCTGCCTTGCTCTTGTGTGATTCACTAATAAAACAGACCACACCTGCTAGGCAGGGCCTTTGTCATACGCCCCAGGCCCCTCGCTCACGTAGCAGTTTCTCTGGCCCTGAAGACTGGAATCGTCCCTTCAGATCTGGGGCCCGTGCCGCTGCCCCAGAGAATGGCTCACAGCGCTCCGAGGCTTGGGTGCTTCCGGAGTAGTCGTCGTCACCCCCCATCCCCGCCCCTGCACCTGAGAAACTTTAAGGTGCTCGGAAGGCTTCCCTTCCCCAAAACCACCCGGATTCATTTCTATCTTTATTCTGAATTTGTTAAAACAAATGTTTCTAGAATAGGCTAACATTAAACCCTACTGGTTATTTCCACAGTGTGAACAAATTAGTTGTTCATTTGATCAACAAATATTTGCTAAGGCTCTCCAACATGCTGAGGAAAAGGAGCTAAATGTAAGTAGATCAATGGTCCCCAGAAAGGAGACAATCCGAGGGACAGGCCAGGGAAGCTAAGTGGGTGCCATGAAACCTGGTGCCGTCACCCCTCTGCTGAGCCAATCCCATTTTTCAAGGTGTCTAAAAAAGTGCAAGGTGGAGACCAAGGTGCAGGGAGAGCTCCTGGAGGTATGACTACGTTTGGCATAGTTTTGAGTAGAGAAGGTCAAGGGTGTACGGCACATCTTGAGCATGAAGGGACACTTGGGGCGCCTGGCTGGCAGCTCCAGAGCGGAGTCCGCTGCCGCAGAACCTCCTCCCCCCCGGACCGGGAGCCTGCAGCCCTGAGGGCTCTCAACACAACAGCCAGTCTGGAACCTGACAGCGGCCCTGCTCTCCCCTGGCCATGCCCGAGTCCCCCCGCTGGCCCCGTGCAGGCCTGACACTCAGCCGATCTTTTACAAGTGAGAGACAAACAAAACTGTGTGCAGAGCTGGATGTTTATTTCCACCATCTGCGTGGCAATCCAAGTTCAAGTTATAATGGCATCCGCTCTCCATCAGTATTAGGGAACCATTTAAACATCCACAGCCATTTACTGATTATAAACACACACTAAAAAAAGGCGTCAAGTGGCATGTGGCCCCGCACCTGCTGCCTTTGTGTGCGTCAGTCAATTTCATGCCTAGGAAGCCCGGGCTCCGTGGGGATGGCCATATAAGCAGTGTGGTTGGTTGCCGGCTTTTCGTTTTCTTTTTTTTCCTGGGGAAAAGCATAAACCAAGTTGGCTCAAATATACACTTATTGCAAATAGATGGGAATAAATGGAAAAAAGACAATGATCATAAATGCAAACAAAAATTGCTGCATTTCCCAATGTTAAAAGGTCCATTTACTTATTATTAGTAGATAAAACTGAAGAGTATTTTTACCGGCCTTTAAGAAAAGTTAGCAGGGGTTGCTGTGCAAAGGGCTCTATCTCCTGCCCCAGATCCCTCACAGCCCCACCCCACCCACTCCCACCCTGGAGGGTTTGAGTCACTGGCAGTGAAAAGTTGGGGATGATCAATGGCCCTGGTGAGAGCAGGCAAGGGAAAGTGAAGGAACCAAGAGGAACTGGTGCGTTTTACAAGGAAACAAAGGAAATTTACCTAAGAGGTGTGAAAATGTTTTCTTGGTGGCTCCTGACTCCGAGGTCTGCCTCAGTTTGTCCGGGAATTAGCCGTGTGACTTTGGGTAGTCATTCTCAGAATGTTTTCTTACTGGGGACAGCTTCAAAGAGGGGGTTTCATTAGACCAATCTATCACAGGAGCTTTTTGGATGGCACAGTGCCAGGTTCACTTCTCCAAGCAGAGGTTTGTTTTTGCTTTTTTTTTTTTTCTTTTTCTTTTCCTGACAGCTAACTGTAAGTACTTTCTGCCACTGTGGTATAAAAGGACCCTTTTATTGCCTTATGACCAAATGTTTTGGAGGGGGGAGTAAAAAATAACACTCAGCTTTTTAGTTAAGTCAGGGGATGTAATGTATAGCAAAGGGAATATAGTCAAAAACATAGTAACTGTTTTATGACACAAGGTTACTAGACTAATTGTGATGATAACTTCGTAAGCCATACAAATGCATGATCACTCTGTTGTATACCTGAAACTGATATAATATTGTAGGTCGACTACACTTTAAAAATAATTTTTTAAAGCTAAGAAGAGTACAAAAGGTTTATGGGGGAATAACGCCCTATAAAAGAAAAGGGGGAAGCCGGCTGGGCAGGGGGAGCCATCAGCCAGAGATGTAGACCCCACGAAGTCCAGCCAGCCCTTGGGGCAGCTCTGAAGCAAAGGCTGCCTGTTAGAAAAGTTGTATTGGGTCAAACAGCCAGGCCCCTATAATACCACCTTGCTCTGAAATCAGACAAAGAGCTTAACTTTAGCTCAAAAAATGAATTTTGAGCTCACCTTGAAGGAAGTAACAGCAGGGAGGCAGTCAGCTAAGCACACTACTTGCAGCAGGAAGCAAGTCTTTCCTAGAAGGGAGAGCAGAGCAGTATCTTTTGTGTTGGCCACGCCAAATAGAATTTTTAGAGTTCTGTCCTAAAAGTAATGGAAAACCACTGAGTAATTTCAATCAGACAAGCTGGGGTTTCATAGTTACATAAATATTTAATAATGCCTACTGAATCATTCACACAATGAATAGTTGAATGTCTGTCACGTGCCTGGTGTCTAGGTGCTTGGGACACGTGAGTGGACAGAACTAAGATCCTGCCCTGGTAAAGCTTATGTTCTACAGATGAGGGAGAGACAAACTAGAGGACATAATACATATGTCAATTACATAGTATCTTGGACTTTTGCTCCTCAGTGTGGTCCATGGACCAACAGCATTGCACAGGGGCTTCCTAGAAATGTTGGCCTCATCCTAGACCCACTGAATTCGAATCTGCATTTTACTGAGAACCCCAAGTGATTCTTATGCAGAGTAAAACTGAGATTCCACTCTCAATTTTAAGACTCTTAGACAATGTGAAAGTGGGGGAGATGGCTACAGTATTTTAAAAATGTAGTCTAGGTCTACCTCATTGAAAATGGAAACTTTTGAGTAAAAACCTGGAGGAGGTGGTAGGGTTAGCCAACCATCCAATTAGGGATGTTCCCAGGCAGAGGGAATAGCCGGAATCAAGGCTCTAAGGCAAAAAATGCCCTCAGTGCTGGAACCCAAGATGAGGGGAGGGAGCTACTATAGTCATCTAGGTACGAAACATCAGTCGCTCAGAGCTGGCTGGTAGCAGAGGCAGAGTTGAGAAGTGGTTTGATTCTGGATATGTTTTTAATGTATATCCAACATGCTTTGTTGATGGATTAGATGTAGGATGTGAGAACGAGAGGAGTTGAGGTTAAGTCCAAGGTTTTTGGCCTAAGCAGTTGAAAGAACGGAAGTGTGAAAGAGCTCAAGTGGGAAAGGCTGTGGGTAGAAGTTTTTTTTTTGGTGGCGTCAGGGTGGGGAGAAGAGATCAAGGAATCATGTAGAAGTTGAGATATCTGTTGGACATCCAAGAAATGATCAGGCAGGCAAGTGTGGAGTTCAAAAAACAGGTCTGTCTGCTAAAAATGTAAATTTGGGAGCCATGATCAATCATTCCACTACCGTCATCTAAGAACAGGGGTACATATAATGAATTACTGCTACGCTTGCAGATCTGCTCATTATTCCAAAAACTCTGGTCAGATAATACAATCGATGTGGAAGTCATCATGACAAAACTTTTTCTGTGCATCCCTCCTGGGCTGTGATCTGAAATTTCAGGTGCAGAAAAGTTAACATAGTTTAAATATGTTTTAAAAAAATATCCTCAAATATAAATGCAAAACAAAAGGTAACTCATAGAAACCAAAACTGAAGAACTCTGAAAATAAAAAGATGGTCATCTAAAATCAACTATATACTTTTTAATTTACATTGGAGAATGGAGAAAACTCATTGATGACTCCCTCGTTAAAAAAAAAAAAAAATTTTACTAAAAATTCTACTAGATAATGAATACGTTAAAAAAATCTAGCACCACCTAGTACAGTAAAGCTTTGCGCAGCGCATTACAGCAGTTATTAACAGTACATGCTATGTTTGAGACCCTGAGTTAATCATTTTCACCTGCTATCATCTCACTTAGTTCTCAGTCCTACTGTAAGGCTGTACCCATTTCACTTATGATAAGACTGAGATTCAGAGGTTAAATGTATGAGCTCCCATGGTTAACAAGGATCAGTGCAGGAATCTAACTCCAAATGAAATGAAAACTACCTACAAAATTCAAACAACACAACTGAGAAATGAAACCTGCTGCAGAAGGAAGTGATACTAATCTATTTTATTTTCAAATAAAAGATAAAGTGCTTCTTTTAGAAAATAGTAACTTCTAAGCATCGAACTTTCTATAGTCAATAGGCCCTTTACAAAATGGTCAATAGAATGTCATCTTTCCTTTTTTTTTTTTTTTTAATAAAATAATGTAACTATCCTCCCCTCTCCCTCCCAGTCCCCTGTGACTCATGATTCTCATTAGGTATGACTTTTCTTGCTGATATCTAAGCAAGGTGATACTGATGACTGAATCAAAAATGGGCAAGTAATTCTGTTGTTTGTACTTTCAGATTTTATCTACAGCAATGATTAGATAAAATGTAATGTGCTGTCAATGATTTATTAAAAATTATTTCATGTAATAAATTATATCATTTTTATTTTTAAACAATCTACACCAAAAAATATTTTTAGAAATATCTTTCTTTTTTGGTAAAACAAATAGGTTAGCAGGCGAACGTCAGCTTCAATTCAAATGACTAAAATCCCCACAATTACACAGTTAAATATAGCTTTTCTTCACATTTCTCTAAAAGTTCAAGTTCATACCACTTGATAAAAACAATTAGTATAAACATTTCCATTTTGCCTAAGGCCTTACATTGAACTGAAGAATATTAGTTGGAAAATTATAAAGATATATTCATGAGCCTTGAACTCATCACCTTATATGTGTATATACCATAATAGCTAAAAGGAACAGGAAAGTTAAAAAAAAAAAAGCACAAAAGAATACAGTGGGTAAGTCTTAGCCCTGTATATTATGAGTGGCCATAAAAGACACGTCACCAACACAATGTGACAGACAAGGAAAAAACAGTGTACAGAAGGTTTTTTGTTTGTTTGTTTTTCCCTGCTAACAAAGCAAATTGTATCATTCTTATCAAATTATTCAGAGGATATCAAACATCTGTGTAAATAAATTGGATTATTTTTTTAATTACAAAATAAGGTTGACCTTATGAAAAGCACAAGATAACAAAACCATTTAAGGGCTTGGCAGAAATCAGTACATCTTAGAAAATGGGAAAAGAAAACCCAACTATTACATGCACCAAGTGGACATATATTCAAAAAAATTTTCTGAGTGTAACAAGAATGAGATTCATCGGTGTTTGTTGCTTTTGTCAGTTGTTGGCTACTCTCCTCCATGAAAGAACAGAAGAATTGAAATCTCATGGCGAGCTACTAATTCAATATTAAAGCAATGTCACTGGTTTAAAAAATTACCTTTGCTTAATTTATTTTTTTTTCAGTTTACCTTTGTTTAATTTAAATTTTGCTAAAACCTACCCTAGGCATATAATATAAAAGTAAAAGCACATCCTATAGCTTAGGCCTCGTTAAAGTTCTTATTATGGGGTGGTTAAAGAAACAACCACAGCAGAGTTATGTGCTGACGCAAAATATTGAAAAAATTTAGTTTCTGTATATCAAGTGCCTATTGGTTGAACAGAACTGTATTCAATAATTCACATTCTATAATTTTATTCAACTAATAGAAAAAGCTAAATAGAAAGATTTATCGCTGAACACTGAGTTCCTAAGGCTGGTATCACATATCATTCCCTGACAGAGTGAGAATTCATCAGCAGAGAACCTAAGAGCCAAACTGAGAGCTGGATTTAAAATTCCTTTCCCTGCTGTGCGTATAAGGAACACATTGTGTAATGACCTAAAGAATATTTTGTGTTATTCAATTTTCTTTTCTGGGCAGACTACCACAGCCCAATGACTTTAAAAACCAAACTCCAAAATTCTACCTGATAGCCTGAGGGAAGAGCAGTTGGATCATAAAGATGGAAGAGGCCATCTTAGTCAATGATTGGGAAATGCATCATCCACCGCCCCTCTGCCACAGTGCCAGGATAACTAAGGCCAATTATGAGGGTTACCAATCAGTACTAGCAACTTAAAATAAACAATTGTCTGTACATACTTTTTTATATTTATATGTGGAAATGGGAGTGAACAGGGAAAAACATTAGGGTGGGGGCAAAGGAAAGCCTGAATATACAGAACCCATAACATCCCTTCAAAAACTCTTAGGAATTCTATAACCTCAAGGTCAAATTTAAACCAGCAGGAACAGAACTGAAATTCCAAAACCTCTGAAAAGAGAATGCTAATAAAAAAAACTGCAGCCGATTTTATGCACCAGTTATGAGACATTATAACATATCAATCATTCACATGTGGGTTCATGTAATTTATCTTCAATTAGAATTATTATCTATTCAGCAGCTGAAACCCAAGAACTGCTGATACACTGCTGCTAGTCTCCCGGCTCTGGCCTTTGTTGAGCTGAACGGTGATCACACAGTATAGATCACTTGCTCCATAAACCAATCCTGGCTTACGTGGAGAGGCAATGCACTGCCAGCGTTTACACTGGCAGCATCCCTTCATCCCCTTTCATTGACTCTAGAGGTTCTGTGGAGACTCTTCAGCTTTATTGGTTCTACAATTCAGTCCCAAATTCACATGGAAAACATTACACAACCATTTAATCCAGGACTCACTCCTTTAAAATGAGTTATTAAAGCTACTTTAAGAAAACAGGTATTTAAAATATTTGAACTCCAAAGATTCATTTAAAAGTAGCTTTCACGGCATTTATAATGAAGTACTTTATCTGAACAGCCTTGACATCCAAGGTCGTCAGGCCAGTGTCTGAAGCATTCTAACTTACCTACGAGTGGGAATGGCATCTGTCTGAGCTCACGTTTAGCAGTTTACACTGCCAAGTCAGTAGAGAAAAATATGACCCAGAAATTAAGGCAGCATTCTCTACTGTAGTGTTTTCAAAAGTATGTTCAATGGATGTAAGTCTTCAGATAAGGATACACTTGAACTTGTTTCAAAGGAATTCTTAGAGCCTTTAATGCGCCAATAGGCAGGTTTGCAAAGTCCCCAAACTATTTGTCCACAGAATCTTTTATCTGTATGAGCACTTCTTAGGAACAATGCTTTATGGAGCAGGTCTTAAGAAACACAGGTTCACCGTTTCATACATTCGGAGGCTTCACCAATTCCTCAGACTATGAGACATCAGTCTATTTCTTAAAATTAACCACAAAATAATTGTTACAGCCAATAGTTCTGGAATTTCAGAGTCAAAAAGTGAGCATGTGGGCAGGGAGAGGGAATATACCTGTTTATCATACATTATTTTCACCTCCCTAGAAAAATATGTTCAAAGATACCCATGGTTAACCACTCTTGCTGATGGCTGTATACAACACCTGAACAAACTAATCAATACACAAAGTCTGCTTAAAGCAAAAACTCTAAAGTGGAATAAAGTTTTCACTTGCCCAAATGGAAAAATGCACAAGTGCCATATAAAACAATTTATAATTACATATTTAGAACTGGTAACCCTGGTTATTACTTAACAATCTATACCATATACTGAGATAACATTACAGAGCTATCTTCTTTGAAGCTCTGTGAATAATTAAAGTTGCTATGGAAAACTCATTACTTAAGGAGTTCATTTACTTTAGGGTAGTGTTTCTCAACCTCAGCAAGGATGAGACTTGGGGCTGGATAATTCTTTGATTTGGGAAGTTGTGTTGTCCACTGTAAGATGTTAAATGTCAATAATATCCCACCAGTCCTAACAACCAGAAATGTCCCAGATGGTGCTTAGATATAAGCAAATCATCCCCCGTTGAGAGCTGCTGCTATTGAGAGAAAATTACAGCTCACACCTTGACCCTGCTTCCCATTTTACAGGCATAACATGACTTACACGTATCAACAAACAGCTAGTAATTAGTAGCATTAGAGATCTTCTAAATTCAGCGTGATCAGAAACATCAGCAATTTGTGAATGGTAGAGAATGGTTAGGAAGAAGCAGTCTATACATTTCAAAGCATGTTGTGGTAATTATTCTGCCCTTATATTAGTAAGAATTATCTGAATCATAATGCTTAATTGACAAATATTCTTACAATTAGAAAAATGCTAATTGTATATTATAATCTGTTAAGGATCATAATGATTCAGGCATTGTAAGAATCAAAAAGTGTAACAACTATCAATGGCCAAATCAGAGCATATTCCAGTCCCTAACCAAACATGCTCCATGACATTCTCAATTCAAATATCTCAAGTCTTGTCTTTAAACTGCTTGCTTGTACTGTTGCCTCATCATTTCTTTCAAATTATCAAAAAGAAACCCTTCCCATGTTCAGAGTTCTTCAATATCCCCATCTTCAGTTTTGTCACAACTGTCAATTCCAGATACATCGCTCTCTCTATTTTGTTCTTTTCTTATTGTCTTTAAACATTTGTCAAGTCTCTGTATGAACAAGTCCACATCCTGTGTCTTCATTCCAATGGCTGATGCAGCATTGAGGTAAGCACACGGATAATTATCTGTGTGTGACATAAAGCCTCGGAAAGTGTAGCCACTCACAGTTTGCACAGACCCAAGAGGCACAACCCTAAAATGGAAAAAATTTACTAATTTAACATGTCTGGTGACATCAGTATACCATCCATAAACAAAAGATATCCATATTAGTAAGCCTTACATCTACTTAAGAGGTTTATAAACAGCCATAAATCATGGCCTATGAAAAAAGACTTGTGTCAGCCTTAAACTAAAAAGCATACGATACACTCAATTTTACATGGAAAAGTGATTACCATGTACTCATCTTCTATTAAAGAGGTACAAGCTCTCGGAATCACAAACACCTGCACATCTTCTTCAAAGAGGTAAAAAGAAAATCACTTGTTTTTGTACCAAATATGGAATGTGACTTCACATACACAAACTTTAATGGAATGGTGAAACTACTAAGCCAAAACCATTTTGATTAATTGCCATGTGTCATCTCAAATAATCAACAAACAAAAATTATACCTTCTAATCAGTGCTATGCAATAAAGGTTTTAAAGCAAGGATCTAGAAGAAATTATGTGACTGTTTGCAGTGGGGTGATACTCAGCAATCAATAATATTCGGCAATAACACATGTATTTTTTAAGCTTGATTTCACTGGCATACTTGATATAAGCAGATTTCTGAGAGTCCATTTTTTTTCCAAATAAGTCAATTAAGATCAACTTAAACATAAAGAAAAAATAGTGGCAACATTAAAAACAAGGCCAAGGAAAGCATTTTAGAAGTGTCCAACTATGCTGTGTTATACAGACATAGCTCATCAAGGAAAAAAGATCAACTAATCTTTTTTTCTTTTTTAAAGATTTTATTTATTTCTTGTTAGAAACAGGAGAAGGGAGAAAGAGAGAGAGAGAAACATCAATGTGTGGTTGCCTCTCGCGTACCCTCTACTTACTGGGGACCTGGTCTGCAACCCAGACATGTGCCCTGACTGGGAATCAAACTGGCGACCCTTTGGTTCCCAGGCCAGCACTTAATCCACTGAGCCTCACCAGCCAGGGCAAATTTTTTTCTTTTAAAAAGTTGTTCTTTGATATAAAATCTCTAACCTCTGGAAATCAGAGAAAAATAATAGAAGAATGTAAAGAATAATACAACAAGATATTTCTTTTCAAGTCATTTTTCTCTGACATCATCAAATTAGAAAACAAATTCATTTTTAAGCCATGTACATCAAAAAGCAAACAGTACATTTTTCAAAGACAGTACTTAGACAAGAATTGTATAACCTGGCCTGACCAGCATGGCTCAGTTGGTTCACTGTTATCCTGCACAGCAAAAGGTTGCTGGTTCGATTCCCAGTCAAGGCACATGCGTGGGTTGCAGGCCAGGTCCCCAGACAGGGCATGTGTGAGAGGCTACCAATCGATGTTACTCTCACACATTGATGTTTCTCTCCCTTTTTACCCCTCTCTCTAAAAATAAGTAAGTAAAATATTTTAATAAAAAATAATTTTAAAAAAACTGTATACTTTTTTAGTTTAGAAAATGTGCCTTCCCTTAAAAACATTTTCACTTAAAGTTAATAATGAAGATGACTTATTTCTAACACCATTAAGTGACACGATTGAAGATTACCTAACAAAAGAAAATAAAGACAAACATTTGTACAGAGAGGTAATGGACTTTTGTTTCTGTATGTCTACTAAAACCAACAAGATTCATATCTTTCTGTGACTATTTCAAGTGTAGGCAGTCCACAGGTGCACATATGTTATACACTCTCTACCTCGTCATTATTTACTGCACAATGAATTCTCAGGGGAAGTTCAGCATTTACTTGGGGGACTCTTATTAAAATTAACTTTGAAAAGCTAAATAAATCCATGCATCTTTTAAACATACCTGGCTCCTGAAACCTGTCTGGTAAAAAGCATGGAGCCGAGCTGAGTGACAGCTTTGTCACAGTGTTCATCTAGTGTCTTAAGTGTCACAGCTGAAAAGAAAAAAAAGTATCCCAATGAGCCTCAAAAAATAACACATAATAATGGAGAAATTACTTTTTTGTGTGTAAAAACACACAGAACATAAAATTTACCATCTTAACCATTTTTAAGTGTATGTTCAGCGGTATTAAATACATTCACAATGCTGTGTAACCATTATCACCATCCATCCCCATAATTCTTATCATCTTGTAAAACTAAAACTGTATACCTATTAAAAAAATAACTCCCGCTTCTCCCCTCCTGGCAACCACCATTATACTTCCTGTCTCTATGATTTTGACTGCGCTAAGTACCTCATATAAATGAAATAATGCAGTATTTGTCTTTTTGTAACTGGCTTATTTCACAGAGGCATTACTTTTTATTCATTGTCAAGTGGCATGATTTTACTTGAATGCACTTAATAAATTATAGTAAGAATTTGTTTGCATATCAGACAAAAATATGTTAATATAAATTAACATACTCAGAATCAGAGAGATTTTCCATTTCACCCCTCTAAAGAGTGAATTTTCCAATTAAACAGATGGAACTATGACATGATCAATATGGCAGTTTATTCAAATTCAAACATGTTTTAAGAACTTGTAAAATGAGAATGTGGGATATATTTCAGCATATATATGACTAAGTAATACCAACTTCTGCATATGGATATAAAAATTCTTTCTGAGGTTATATGGCTAAACTATACTCAATTTATACCACCAATCACTGATACCAGGTACCATTTCCTGAGGATAGACTTACCATACTAGATAGTTTACAAATATAATCTCAACCATTCTTTAACAATTTTACATGTGAGATGTCATCATCTCTATTTTATAGATAGGAGAAAGGAAGTTAGGGGACAGTATATGACAGAATAGGGATTCAAACCATACTATATCACCTTCTATAACATCTACATAGATTACAGACTAGCAAAGGATTGGCTGGATGAGGTTTATTATATATTAATAGCCACAGAGTTTTCCACAGAAGCCCATTCCAGAAAGAGGTTTCAGTAACACATGACTGTTTCCTTACTTTCCTCAGATACAAATGAAATACAAAACATATTACACTGCATGTATTCACAAATTAAAAGGGATAATTATGAAGCTTAAAAGTTAATGCATTAAAGTCAACATTCATATTATACTGTTTAGTAGTTCTTGTACCACATGACAAAAATACATAGTGCTTATACAAACAAAGGAAATTATCATAAATACAAAATTCTCTAACACAGAGAGGCTCAAGAAAACAAATTTCTAGTATTACGGTGTTTTGTTAACTGGTAGAAATTTTTTATACAGAGTCCTTACTAGTGACCAAATGATTTTCATTAGAAACAAGAGTTAAAGTATTACTTTTCTATCTATTCATTATAATACTTAGTATTGATTTGGATCCTTTCAGTATATAGTTTTTTATCTTAGAAATATATTAAAGCATTTCTGAAGGCTAACTAAACTTTTTCAATTTACAAGTTAATACTGTAATAAATTTAGAAATAACACTGTAACCAGAAAGAATTTATACTCTTTCTAGAAATACCAGCTTCCTCCTGGGGATGGTGCAGAAGTGCTGATTTTTTTTTTAAAGGAAAAAAAATTACCTAAAGATATGGGATTTTGAGGTGTATGCAACAGTCTTTCATTATAGGCTTCTGACAGCTTCTTTAGTTGGATGGACAAATATGAAAACATTTCCTGCAATAACAAAATGTCACACTTAAAGAAAATCAAATAAATATGTATTGCAACCTGCCAAATTTAGAAAGACAAAATCTGACTGGTGAAAGTCTGTGATGTAAATTAAGTAAAACTCATGCATGTGCCTAGGAGCAATTCTTTCCTTTACTGCAATATAGTGAGATTCAAAGCTGCCACAGTTATCAGAAACCACAGGATTTAAGTAAAGAAGGCAATAAACTGGACTTGGGGCTATTACTTTTCTATCACAGATCGATCCTCTTTTCAGAACCACCAGGGCTACTGCTCTCATCCAAGTGGCTGTCAACCTCTGCCCTGGACCACAGCAATACATTCTAAATGACCCCTCTGCGCCCTTTCCCACCCCTCTACAATCCGTTCTACACACAGAGGCTAGAGTGGCCTTTCAGAACCATAAATCAGACATGTCCCTCCCAATGACTTCCACTTGTAAGCATAAAAAAACAAACTCTTCATCTGTAAGGCCCAAAATGATCCGGCCTAGCCAACAAGCCCAACTTGGCAACTGCACTCCCCCCCACCCCACACTTACTACAACGCCAGCCGCACCAGCCCTCTTGCCAAAAGTGAACATACTTGCTTCCCCTAGACTCAGAAGCTCTTCTCCCAGGTCATGCCATGCGTGGCTCCTTCTGACACAGACTAGTAAGACATTCCTTCATTACATCCCTGTAAAAGTAGCTCTCCGGCTCTGCCCATTCCCAGCTCTTAATCTCATTCCAACACCATTACTTGTTTTGGTTCTTTCACTATACTTAACACAATTTTAATGTTATCTCATTTATTTGCTAAAATGAATATTGCCTATGACAACCTAGTAGAATGGAAAAACTCCTTGAAAGAAGGGACTTTGTCTTCTTCACCACTGTTTTCTCACCACCAAGAAAAATGTGCCAGGCTTTAGAATGTAAGTAACTTAGGAAGAGGTATTTTAAAAATGTATTTCTTTTAAAACAATAAACTGAAAATCAACAATTCTCTAAACTCAATTAAAAAACACAGCAACTAAAAACTAAAAACTGTATTCATGATCCAACTCTAGAAAACAATGTAGAAAATAAAAATACGTATATTTTATAAGTATAAAATTTCATGTGCACATGTAAAAAGTTACAAATAAATATTAAGTTGGCAACTGTTTGACCTAAAATTATACTTTCTTCTCCTAGTAAGCTGTTTCAAAAGTACTGAAATGAAAATCTGCCCACAAAAGTCTGCCCTTGAACTACCCATTTGTACTGACCTCCTCCAGCCAAAACTGATAAACTCTAAAGAGGCACCTAAGAGCCAAGGGCCAACCCTGTTGTTGAGACGGCAGGAAAGGATGCTTCTCTAACTTCCAAGGCCACGAAAGCTGCTTCAGTTGCTGTAAGGTAAGGGTTGCAGAGTCTGATCCCACACTGGGACTCTGAACAGCTTTTTCATGTCTAAAGCACATAGATGACTACCTCCATCTTTTGTTAGGTAAAGATTAAAAGAAGAGGAAAACTCCTACCAAGTTTATGAATTGTTAATGAGTCTACTGAAGACCACAAACATTTTTACCCTGTTGATACACCATATACTTTTTATTCTGACCTGAATTTTTTAACTAACTGTTGTTCTTAAATTCTTAGGATATTTTATAAGATCGATCTCAACATATCAGAATTATGAAATCTTAGATTAAAAGAAATTGATTTTTTCTATTTAAAAAGTCAACATTCATATACGTCATATCTATTGAATCTACTGATATATGTGATGTCTTTTTATTTTGTCATTTAAAAAAAGTGTAGAGAAATATTTAAGGAGACATGTGTTATCACCAGAAATGGGGGGTGGGGGGAGTTGTGGCAGGCATCTTTTCTTAAACATATAAAGATTTCTGATCCCTCCTTCTTAAATTTATATTTCAATATACACTTCAGAAGGTGAAAAGATAATCAAATGGAATAAAGAAATTAAGAGTTTTTCCAGCAACTGGAACAATTCACACTCTTTTAGTACCACACCAGTGTTAATGAAGAGCAGCGTCCTGGCTTTCTTTTATATTTTTTTAATCTACTATAAAGTATTGTTTTTCTAAAAAAAAAAAAGTTGTATTTTAATTTAGATATTAATTGTTGATTTTCCTTCACCTATATTATAAACCAAAGTCTTAATCTGCATCTTTCTTACTCTCCTATCCATCAACCTCTCATAAACAGAAATAAATTTAATAGCCCAGAAATGCCCTTTATAAACTCCTACTTTTTCCCTCCAATGTAACAAAAAAATTTTTTTCCCCAGAGGTGAGGACCAATTTAAAATATTATTCTATCTAGTACAGGTGCCACAACAGTCACCAATGTGGTCACACTTGTAGAGTACAGTTGACCCTTGAACAGCACAGGTTTATGTTATTTTGATGCATGGCTTGGAATCCATGGATATAGAAGGCCTAAGTATACATTGCTTTATGCCATTTTATATAGGGACTTGGGAATCTGCAGATTTTGATATCTACAGGGGCAGGGGATGGACCTAGCACCAATCAATCCCCCATAGATAGCCAGGGCTCACTGCAGTTAAGTTCCAGGGAAGTCAAAAGTTGTATGTGGATTTTCGATCGCATGTTGTTTGAGTGAAATGTACTTAATTTGTACTTAGCTATTTCTAAAAAGAAAAATATATCCTTAGTAATAGTCCTAGCAGTGCTTTTAAATTTACTACTGCATACATGTCTATGAAAAAACTGAGTTTTTTTCCCCACTGTTCAATTTCTAATACTTAAACAAATTAATTTTAAACAAATTAGTTCTATCAATCACTTGATAATGGCACTAAGATTCAGTTTTAATGGCAGCTAACACTGGGCTTAAAATGTTTGGACAATAAACATAACACTAAGGTAACTAAATCTCATGTAACTACTGTGGGAATAATTAGACAAAAAAGAAAATAGTTGTGAGTCAAGTTCACATCCACTTGCAAATATTTATAGTATCTCTACTCTGTGTGAAGGGTTATGATAGGTAATCCAATAAGCAAAGAAGCTTAAATTATCTTATAATATTCCAGATATTAAGGTCCTAAATGCTCTCCCATTAATATCACTACATTTAAAATATTTCATTTGGGAGACCGTACCACTATTTCCTACACTAATACTTAGCAAAGCAGTTTTTTACCTGATATATTAAAGGCACTACAGAACCTACATTATTTTTTTTTTGCTACAGTTAAATCTATATCTGACATTTATTATAAAATACTTCTATAAAGGGAGAAATTTATTAGCACCCCAAGCAAATGTATATAGAAAGATCTTACTTAAAAGAAATGAAATATTATTGATTTTCTATGTCTTTTTTGCTGTATTTAACTTAATTTTAAAAGACTCTTCACTAGAGATAAACTGAGCTGTATACCTGAATGCTAATGTCAGCTATATTTCCAGACTAAAAATACAAAACTTTACACCACAGTTCAAGATGTTAATGGAAGAGAAGTTGAATTATATTAAGCATTACCTTTCATATGGCCTTTTGCAAACTAATTTGCAGTCATGAATCCCAACATTCAGCCTATACCTCCCCATAACCCAAAGATGTGCATAATTCACTAAATTTTAAAGAAAAAGGTCTTATGTAATCATGTTTTTTGAAACATACTGTTTCATGTTACAGAATGAGGTGTAAAAAGAACTCCATGTATTATTACAGTACGCCTCATAAGGTGGATAATAAATCAAAAGAGAAACATAACAAGTAATCTAATATTTCAATGACAACATGAAAGAATGAATGGGCAGCAGGCTGTAGGTACATATCCATGCACAGATGTCCGTATCTGAAGATAATAGTACAGATACAATATGCTGCTCTCTATGATCGTGGCCAGATTAAAGGAGCCAGGCACACTTGGCAGTCTTTGCAACGCAGGCTAAAGCACTGCTTTCAAACTCTTCTGTTGAGGCCCCACAGCCAGGCTTGAAATCTCATGCTTTTCTTGAGGTTCAATTACTCCACTTTTAGGGTTACAGATAAACCAATGTCGCCAAACTCAGCTCTGGTATAGGACATTGCTTCAAGTACACGTCTGATGTTCTTTTAGAACTTAGCCTGTCCTCCAAGCCTCAGCTACGAAAGGCCAGCCACTGGAGCGGCTGTTCCCCTGTCATTCCTCTTCTGCTCTTGTCCAGTTCACAGCTATTTGCAGCCAGGATTGCCTGCCGACCCTGTTCAACAAAGCACTCTTCTAAAAGGAAAGGTAAGCAGAATAATGGTTTTTGCGGAAAGCAAAACAGAAGTGAGGATAAATTTCTGAGACTGATCTTTCTTTTTGCTTAGAGAAACTCAAAGAAACAGTCTCTTAAAGTTTAACCCCTTTTCTTCAAGGCTGCTTCAGTTAAATTCATGGTCAATTCCTCCCTCAATGAAGCAGATGTGTTGATCAGGAAGGGGCTAAGGGCAAAGAGGTTCAATTCACACACACAGTTCCACTTTCTCTGATCCTTTCAGCCTTCAAAAAAGATGGCTTGAGAAGGAATGGCTTCAAGCTGAGTTCCTGTCTGCCTCTATTTTGAAAAAAGATAGTCTTTTCTGAAGGGATATATGAGATGAAATAACCTCTAAAAATATCATTGTGGTGAATAAGGGCACAGAATAAAAAATCCTAAGTTTTCTTTTAACACTCCTTTTTTAGTACGCAATAACACCAATAATATAAAAAGGAGCTCTCGGTGATGGTATATAAATAGCTCTGGATGGAGCAAAATAGCATTGCCTTAGCTTCTCCAGAGCTGAACCAATAAACTATTACGATTAAATTTTCACAGTTCAAAAGCAAGTCCATTTAAACAAAAGGGGCCCTCACTTCTGCAACAAATCCAATATTAAAAAAAAACCAATATTTATGCTCCATGTATGCAATTATGGTTTATGGAGGACATCGACATTTTTCAATGAAAAGGCCTGCCTGATGAATGAAGTTGTTAAAGAACAATTTTATTC